TATATATATATATATACACACACACACACACACACACACTGTATATATATATTGCATATTTTATTTTTTCCTTTATCTATCCCCCTGATCTATTCATATCTCTCTCACTGTCTCTTTGATCTCCCCAGGTACGGACAGTTCTGCGCGTAGTGACGTGGCTCTGCTGTTAAGCGTACTTGTATGGACAGGACATCTGTCCCTATGAGAGTTTATCAAGGACTTTTAGCAGAAGGTATTTTAGGGCTTTTTGGCCCACTTTTGTTCATTCAAAAGTCAAAGTAACACAGTGTACAGTAGCATAACAACAGACACAAACACATTTCAGCCTTCTGGCTGTTTTGTCTCACAACTTTGTCTATTCCTCCTTAGTACAGAGCTACCCCAGTCTCAGACTTTCTGCTTAACTGGTTCTTCCAGTCACCAGACTGACCTGTTGTTTGCTCACATACAGACTGCTACTTGCTTAGTTCAGCTGCTGTGTTCGGACGGGAACTGCCTCTATCCCTTCACAATCTCCAACTCTTAGACATTAGTTTGGATCTGCAGCCTGCCTGTGTAGACCAGACAGGCCTGAACACATGCTCCCCATGTATCAGGCTTGAAGTTGTTCTTGCAGCACATAGGAGCAATTACATTTTCCATAAGCGACGCTTCAAATGCTTTTACGGCTCATCAGTTTAGTGCTATCAGTGATTGATGGGCCGAGAATTATTGCTCTCACTCCGACGCTCGCGACAATACATAACATGTGTGGCGCAATTTTTGTTTTTGCATATAGGCGCATCTGCCCCGGGTTTGTGTTGTATGTGCGTGCACGTGGGGAAAGGGGAAACTTAAAAAAAATATTTTTTTGCATTTAAATTTTTTTTTATGTTACTTTAGTTTTTACCTTTTTTTTACACTCAGCTTTATAGCTATCACATAGCGGGCTAAAAAGCCCCTTATGTAATAGCACATATGTGACAGGTCCTCTTCATGGAGACGTCAGGGGTTTTTCATACCCCTAATGTCACCTAGGGACCCCAAAGAAGCTGATGAAGCAGAGATCTGCTTCACCAGCTTCTTCTTTTGGCTCTAAGGGGTTGTCCACACCACTTGCAGTGCGTCCCGGCCCGATTCCGGCCGGAACGCACTGCATCACATTGCGGCCGGCTCAATTTTTGCCGGGTAGGATGGGGAGTGGCAGGCCATTGAAGTGAATGGTGCCACAGCCACGCCCTGCGGCCACAATGCGATCGCCCACACGGGATCGCAGGGCACATTGTGCCTGCGGCCCGATGCGGTCAAATTAGTGCTTGCAGCATTTTGACCCCCAACACCGGAACGCACTGCAGGCAGAATGTGCCCTGCGATCCTGTGCAGGCGATCAAATTGCGGCCGGAGGGCGTGGCTACAGCGCAATTCACTTCAATGGCCTGCCACGCCCCCTCCTGCCCAGCACAAAAGTGAGCCGGCTGCATTGCGATGCAGTGCGTTCCGGCCGGAACGCACTGTAAGTGGTCTGAACAGGCCCTAAGAGCCAGAGACTGTGTACAGTGACACCGGAAGTGATGTAATGCACATCACTTCCGGGTCCAGTGATCGGAGGGGAGATCCGCAGCTAGAAGCCACTGATCTCTCCTCCGATCTGTAACGGGGGGAACCTCCACGTGCGGCCTGGGCTCACACGAGGGACAGATGAGCCCAGGAAACTGACGGTGGCACCGGCGGCCGTGGAGGAGGGGGGCACAGTGCCGCACCGTACAAGTGATTCAGCGCCTGTACAGACGGCGGATCGCTTGTATTTAAACAGCAATCGTCAGCTGTTTACCCCGGTACAAGAACATGGCTTCAGGAGCAGCCGTGTTCTTGGTATAACCACTTCCAGCGGAAGACGCACAATTACATGAACCCGCGGGAAGTGGTTAAAAAAAAAAAAACAAAAACAAAACAC